CATGTACATGCATTAGCTACATGTACTGTACATGCACACAGTGAGTATTTCTAAGGTATTAATACAATACAATACATTAACATGACAACTACTCTACAATCACTGTATCACACACATGTACACTCTAAACTAATAACATTATACACATACCTTACTCCACTGGTACTGACTAGTATTCAGTAACCAACTATCATTTACTAGTTGACCATCTTTACCCTCTCCACCTATCATTACTAGTGTAGGTGCGTCACTGATGATACTAGTAATAGCATGAGAGTCTCTCTCCTCAGGCCACTGTACACTAGCAGGTACTACTGGTCCCTTAACACTCTCCCAGTGCTAGATAAAATGAATTAATCAATATTATAAAATGTATTAATGCATGTACACTGTTCTATTATACTTAAGAGTTTGTCCATTTAATTATAAAATAATTATGTTAATACTAGTGATAATTGTACAATTTCTATTAAAATAAATTATTAAATCAAATCTACATGTAAAACTCATTTAAATACATTTTTCAAATTACAAGCTATACCCGTATGTACATGTATTAATGTCCAAACATGATTGATCCATGCAATAAATACATCCCATACAGTAATAAGATAACTTACTATTGTAGTATCAGACTCCAGTTGACATGTATAGACTGTATTAACCATTATATCACTTCTACCATCATCCCTAGACACTCTTCCACCAAACATGACAGCTTTATTATTAGTAATCTTTTCAATAGCAAAGGCAGCAGTAGGAGGACAACACTGACCACTAATAGTTGGAATAATCCATTGTCCTAAATAGAAATAGATAGTATAATTACAATTAATAAGTATGACACGGCAAATATCATGTACATACATGTATACATGTATAACAATGGCTGTAATGGCTGCAAATTAATTTTGATGATTGGCAGTTTGGGGGGAATGACCAATTTAAATTTGTCATTTTGTTCCACTTAGCACAGATACATGTCAGTTATGGCTCAATATGACAACATTTGACAATATCATTCATAAATGGAGTAAAATGATTATTAGAGTTCAGTAAACTAAATCAATGAATCAAATGACAAACAACCAGACTACCTAGTCCCTCACCCACTTAAAGCATTGGTGAGGGACGTTAATCAATAAATTTAATTAGACCATGTGGACAAATTATTAATAGGTGGAGTAGGATGCATCCATGCTTGAAGGCTTCATTTTCAATTTTGTATTTTTACTTTTATGTAGCTGATGTAACTCAAAATTAGTTAGTCAAATCAACTGTCTCTTCATACAATGATGGCTCATGCTCACTCCTTCAATGTTTACATGCACCTACTTAATATGCAAATGGTAACAAAAATAATGATTGAAAAAATATTTCATCACAAGCAGAGTATAGATTGTTAATATATGTATTAATTAATAAATACTTACTTGTTGATAAATTTAATAAATTCTGTTCATTAGTACGAATACGACCAGTACCTAACTGAATATACTGATACTGTGATTGGTATGTAGTGGGTGTAGAACCAAACCCTCCTATCATAAATAGGTATTCTGTACCCATACACTCCATACACACCATACCACCATACCCTCTCTTCATTACAGCATCACTGGTTGGTATTATATTACTCCATTCATATGTTAGACTGTTAAATGAGTTCACGTCATTATGAAAACACATTTCATCTCCACAGACGCCGCCAAAATAGAAGATGTCATTGTTTCTAGTAGTACAGGAGTATCCTATAGCTCCTAGAGGAGGTGACGCTCCTCTGGTCACGTGAGAGGACCAACCACCAGTCCTAAACTCCAGTCTATCAATGGTGGACAACAATTTCCTCTTTTGTGGGGAATCATGAACAAAAGGTAAGTCAGGCCTATACCCTCCCCACAGGAACACTGATTCTCCTACTACAGGAGCTGAGTGATGAGCTATCCCTCCCAGTTGATAGATACCTGTAAAATACAAACATGATGAGAAAGAGGAGGAAGAAAACAGAAACTCACCTTTAGACATTGTTTGTCAAGAATGTTAATTAACTAGCCACACCCATAATAACAATATTCATTACTCATAATCACCCACACCCATATCACCTTCTAAATTAAATCCAATCACTGCCAACATTATAACAATAAGTACAGTAATTATTAGTTGGTTGTATGTCAAGGAATACATCAGGTTAAAACATGTCTTCTTTGCTTGCTGATGAGGTGATGGTCCTGCTATTGAATGCATTGGAATATATTCTTCTTAGTGAGTTAGTGGTGAGTCCAATTAATAATAATTGGTAGTTGGTACTCTCTTGGTGATTATGATAAAAGGTACTTGAGCTAGTACTTACAAGAAATGTACTCACAAACTAACCCTCAGGTATAATAGTAATACAAGATATTACAATCAAAACAATTCAAGTTTTATTATTATTATTATTAATGTTAATGCATTATAGCAAACATGACAAACAATATCTTAACTGGAATTATTAGAGATTTTATATTACATGAGAGTTTTGTAGTCA